CCACGCTCGCACTACCGAAGACAGCAGCACCACTTCCCATGGCGCTGCTGAAACAAGCTTGATTGTGAGCAGCGGCTACTCTCACCTCTTGGGGGTCTGAACCCCCTACTTCGCCGCTGTGTCGTCCCGAAGGACCAGACTCTCTTCGCAGGTCCGCTGCCTGCGCGCTCCCGTCGTACTGCACGGTCCCAAAATGACCTGCAGTGCTTGTGGCGACGCTCTCCACGGCGCCGCCGCTTTCAGCGGCGCCCTCCGTGGCACCGCCGGACTTCTCCTCTATACGTGCAGCAAGTCCTCCGACCAGCTGCACCAGCTGGCCCATTTGCTGTGTCAGCGAACTGATCTCAGACCGCATGCTGTCGATCTGCTCGCTGCTATTTGTGTCTCCTGCCTGCGAGCCGTCCGGAGTGGTCCCTCCGGTTCTGCGGCCCGCCATCCCTAATGGACTCCCTCGAGGGAATAAACACTAGTGTGTTGGTATGTCCGTACTTGGGAGGAGAAGACACGCTTTAACTCTCTCTGATTAGGCACCCGCGGGAGCGAGGAAAGGAAGGGAAGAAGTGGCCCTCCCGAATTCGGGGAAGGGGGCCCACACATAGTAGCCTTTTTCAGGCATACGCATGCTCCTGTCTACTTACCCCCCCCCCGTGCTGCTAGCAAATCTGCCATGCTCGTATCCAGACACACGAACAATTTATATATGTGCTTGGTTGCAGGCGAGGTTGTCCAAGCCCGAGAATGTCCATGCCTTGCCGCGAAAACTATGTACCAGCCGGTGTCCACAGAGTACACGACACACCGACTTTTTTGACATTCGCGGCAATCAAAAAAACAAGCTTCAAGAGTGCCGGCATTTGTAAGCCCGATTATATAGTTGACTACCGTTAGACGCCCAAAAATTAAAACAGTACAGCCCCCCCATCTCCGCACCAGCACTATTTTCAAAGGGACCTCCTCCTCGCCGCTGATCTGCAACTAACTGCCCACAGGTCACCCCGCCAGTAGCCCCTCACCCCTTCGTGAGTGCTAATTATCTTGCAGCTGTCGCGTTTTGGGGCCTCTGTTCTTACACCACAAAGAAAGGCGGGTTTGTTCTTGTTCTTAACACCACGTCGGGCCTGAGTACGCACGCGTGTTGTTATTATTTTTATGTGGTCAATTTCTTTGATTATGATTTTTTTCGAGGCCGCATTTCTTAACTGCCAAGTTCTTGAGTGCGAGCGCCACCTTTATCTTCTGATCATGATGTAGTGCCTGAAGCAACATAGACATGGGCCTACTCTATTTGATATATATATATATTGCTGCCTAGAAACACGCACGGCAACGATCGGGGGGCAAAGCAAGGACTGAAGAAAAGAGAGAGAGAGAGCAGGCGATGATATACTATATACACAGTCTACGCTGCCTCTCTCTGTAAAAGTCAATACAACAAAACGTACGTACGTACGTCTGTCTCTTAAAAATATCTAATGATAGTGGTCGAATATAGTAGTACTACATAAAAAATCTCTACTGAAAAGAATTGCGCGCTCGGCACTAAATAATTCTATATACTTCGTATATATGTTGTTGCTGCTGTGGAACATAAATACTTAGCTGACCCAAAACTTGCCATTGAACGATTGGTAATGGAAGACATTTCTCGGAGTTGCTGCTTTTTTCGTGGGGGGGAAGGCAGAGTAAGTGTGCTCTTTATCGGCCGCGTGGGTGGTGCTGCCACAATTGTTCCCGCCCCCATCATTATCATCCCCGGTGTTTGCCATCCNACTTAGCTGACCCAAAACTTGCCATTGAACGATTGGTAATGGAAGACATTTCTCGGAGTTGCTGCTTTTTTCGTGGGGGGGAAGGCAGAGTAAGTGTGCTCTTTATCGGCCGCGTGGGTGGTGCTGCCACAATTGTTCCCGCCCCCATCATTATCATCCCCGGTGTTTGCCATCCGGGTTGTGTTTTCGTCGCTTGGCAACGACGTTGTAAAACAAGCCCCCCTCTCGCTCTGCGCAAGGGGGATGATCGCACCACGTTGTGTCAAAATGGTCAAGCACCCTCGAGGCGGTTACACAGTGCTTGTAACTGTCTCTGGAAGTGAAAGCACCAGAAAATAAATTAAGNCGGTGTTTGCCATCGAGATTGATTGGGTTTTCGTCGCTTGGCAACGACGTTTTTAAACAAGCTAATTCATTTCGTGAACTCGGCAACCAGAGGTTATTACCGTTTTTTTGTACCTCTGTTATTTTTTGGCGGTAACCATAATGAATGGTGGTCGAGTAGATCATGTCGTGCGGGGTGGAGAACCCTCACTCCGCTCAAAGGGGATGATCGCACCACGTTGTGTTAAAATGGTCAAGCACCCTCGAGGCAGTTACACAGTGCTTACATCTGTCTTTGGGAGTGAAAGCACCATAAAATAAATTAAGTCATACATACGGAGCTGTCATCCGTATGCAAGGAAGTAAGCACAAGATGCCGAACACCCTTAGCAGGATGCAGCGCACCCTTCATGCGACTCGCCGAATATCTCACGGCGCTTCGCGCTTGGTGATGTGAGAGCCTGGTCCGGTGAGAACCCGGCGTGCTCCGTCCCGGCTTTGCAGGGATGCGAGGTCAATAGTCTGAGGACTACGGCATGCGCGACTATCTATGAGTACACCCCCCCATTACTAGACTACTATCTATATAGATTCATCACGGAATCACGAGTAATACGCGATATGCTTCAACATATAGCGTAGCGGTACGCCGTTAGACGTCGTAGACACAGTTTGTTTGCTGGTTCGATCCCCTCCGCGTTGTATGATGTTCATGCGCTAGTCATCTCGAAAGAGAGGAAACTTGTCTGCCGATATATATATCGCTTGATTAACCCAACGGTTGATAGAGTTGAATACAATGAATGGAAGGGAGGGGAAACCTTACACATATTTTTTTCTTTTCTCCTCCTTCACACCAATCCGCGCATAACCGCTTTCATAACCCGGCACGTTATGCTCGCTCGGCCTGTAACCCCCCCACGTTATTCCATGTAATAACCCCTGGTTGGCCGGAGGTTACACAACGCCCCCGTACAACCGGCCCCACTGGCCACCTGTGTGATAGGGTTCTTGGTCTGAAAATTCTCGCGCCGAAGGGTCAACCAGCCCAATCAGCTCGTCAACATCTGTCCCCTCCTCCTTTGATGGCAAAACCAGGTTACTGAGACAGTACAGCTCCCTCGAGCAAACCTAGGGCCGTGTAAAAAGTGCCCGTCCACCTTTCTTTCTGATGAGGTCCACTGCCTCCGCGCACAAAGATGAGACGGGCACTGCTGCCTACACCGACGGCCTGGAGGTCCGCGCATCTGCACCTTTCTTTGTACCTGACGCACAGTGCCGACCCAACTCCACCACTTCGCACGCCTCGCGGCGGGTGCCTCCAGCAAGAAGGTATCGGTCCCTTGAGGGTGAGCCTCGCCCTGCTCGCTAGAAAGACCCCACCCCTCGCTATGGGTCATGCCTACGCAAAACCTGTTTAGTACGGCTTTTCATACTGTACTGATACAAACCTCAGTACCGATTCTCGATGTTGTAGTACTGTTGCGTTTAGTAGGGCTTCCCATACTGTACTAAAGATAGTGTAGTACGGCTGCCCATACTGTACTAACGCGATAGTACAGCCCCCCATACTCTACTCAATGTACGCTTTAGTATTGTTGTTGTTGTTGTTGTTGTCTTCACATTAAAAACCGTTCCGATCTCTCTCTACCCAGTACCTTCGTATGTATGTCCGTACTGATACAACACTCGACGCGGTCGATTCCCGTGGTCGCAGGCTAACTTACCCTAAAAAGGTACACTCAAATATAATGGCCCCGACGGGTCCGCAAGTCAATAGAAATCATCGCCAGATATTCTGGAGTCCTCCACTCCCTCTGCGCGCTATGCGAGGTAACAACTGAGACTAGGGGTCACCATCACGGGCCGGAGAGAATGAGGTACACCCCCTTGATTCAATCTTGGTACTTCACAACGCAAGCAGAAACAAGGCCATCTGTCACAGAAAAAGAGAGAACAAGAGAAATAGAGAAGAAAATAAATGGGAACAGCAAGGAAAGAGAAAATGAAATAAAAAGAGCGAGGACAAAAAGGGACCAGGCCGAAAATAACAAGAAATAAGAAACAGAAAAAGGCACACGGTGGAGAGACCACTAGCGACAGGCAAACACGCAAACATGGCCACCAACCAGCGATACCTTGTAATGGTACGTCATCACTAGTGGGGGGGTTAGTGCAATGGTGCAGCGTTAGGGGGGGGGG